CCTTGTCAACCGAACGATCCTTTGTGGCCGAGAGGTTAGGCACGTGAGCGTAAATGACGGTTTCGTATAGGATGCAGGTTCGAATCCTTTCGAAGGACGAATATTTTCTATGAAAATTTCTCGGACTTTTAGGCCGGTAAATGTTATTTAATACTGTTTATTATAAACAGAGCGTTTACTTAAATACTTGTATCTATAAAAAGAACGTAAAAATGTCTTTAATAAATATATATATATATTGTGTGTATTTAGGCAGCATCTTTTCATTCATACACGTTTCATTAAATAATATACAGACAAGTGTTGTCTATTTTATGTAAATTCTTTTCATAGCGTCACCAACTACATTTATTCCGTAAAATACTTGTCGAAAACACAATTATACTTCGACATGAAAACAATAGACAAAAACTAAAAATCCTTGAAGCATTATACATCAAACCCAACCTAAACAAAATCAATTATGAAATCTCTACAAATATCTTTAAATATCTATAATTGGTAACAGAAGCCATTGGTTTATATCAAGGGATTCCCATACTTCATACTTCTTCAATTCACTCTCGTGTGGTCATGTGTGACGTCATGAGATGCGGTGCGATTTTCGCTTCTAGCGTCTTATATGCGCGTGTTTATCGTTGCTTAGAAATCATCTATGTAAACAATGAGAGACTGTTGTCACTGTCTTGTCCGTATATTGCTTAATATGTTGTAATTGACATCTTTGATAATGGCTTATGTAAGCTGAAAGCTTAGATTGTATTAAAAAAATATGGATCAATATTGTGAATTTCTTTCTTCGTTCAATGATAATGTTATTAAACTTATTAGACGCTGTGAAGAGAATTTACATAAAATAAATAGACAACACTTGTCTATACTATTGAATGAAACGTGTATATATATATATATATATATATATATATATATATATATATAAAATATGTGAAAATATTTGTGCCTACATGAGAAATTGCACATTATTAAGCTTCTAAATAATAATAATCTATTAAACAATAGACATGAGTTAACGGTTTTCTGTCGACATCATCAGATTTATGGTTTGAATTATTAGCTAAAAACAAGCACACAATATTATAACATGATTAATCCATAGCCCAATCATCAGATTCATGGTCTGAATAATTAGCTAAGAACAAGCATACAATATAATAACTTTCATAATCCATAGCCCAAATAAATAGTTTAAATACCCTACAAAAAAGATAACCTTTTATGAAGTCGTCAAAAAACAAACCCCTTTCATAAAAAAATGAAATAAAAAAATAAATAAATCTCCATAGACTTCATACCAGACTAGGGTTAATACATCTTCCGTTTCAAATTTAGACACCCCCACCTTTCCCTGACTTGACATCCATGAAATCAACTCTATATTGATACTTATTATTAACACCCAACACACGCCTACCCAATTTAAACAATTCGCCCTAGCTGTTACCATGGAAATTTTGATATCAATTATTAAATTTCAGAAATACGTTATTCAAAAAAAAATTTCGCTTGAAGATAGAACAGAGCTTACTTTAACTCAATTTAATTCAAATAATTATATTGAAGTTTTCGGCTCTTGTTTTGAAACATGAGACCTCTTATGTCGCGAGTTGGAATCATATTTTTTAATAAATAATTATATATATATATATATATATATATATGAAGAAAAATATATGTAAAAACAAAACTCCGAATATGCAAGTATGCTGTCTTAATGTTGTTTCAATGTCGACGTCAGACGTTTCGGTCTAGTAGACCTTCTTCAGGACATAGTTATTAAAACATAATTGAAATTAGACGATATTCAAGACAACATGAAAAGACGATAGATATAAGAGTAATCAAAACAGAATAACTGAAATTTTTAAGATCAGCGTTCCGTTTCGCAATACGATCACGTTGGTGCCACGTTGGCGATGTTTGGAAAACATATTCCTAAAATAGAATATATTTTAAATGAAAAAGAATTTTATTTTAATCTAAAATTTATAAGTACGTTTGTCCTGCATTAATCTAGCCAGAAAAGGGCAAATATTAAAGAAGCCGGGTCTACTATTCACCGTGCGTGAGATAGATATTATGCCTGCCTCATAAATCCGTCTAAGACTTTTATTATGAATATATTTTAAAATCTTCACAGAATCAAAATCGAAATTATGATCAGATTTAGTTATGTGTACAAATAAAGCATTGTTTAAATTACCGAGGCGAATATCATTGAAACAATATTAAAACAGCATACTTCTATACTCGGATTTTTGTTTTTCCATATTTTTCTTCATACTGTCGGATCTATATCCACATATTTGCTTACATATATATATAATTTTTAATTTTCATAATTTTAAAATTTCTACCCCTCATATATCTGGGAATTTAAATATTGTCGACATGAAAAAAAAAAATAATAATAATAATAATAATAATAATCCCTTACTATAAAGGTAATTTACATTAACCAGAAAAAAAGGCTTAGACAGAAGCGTCTATCTTTTTAAATTTGGATTTTTAATGTAACTATAACAACAAAAACATTTCGATTTCATTTTTGCCTTGAAAAAGTCGGAAGACGAAACGCGTCGGCAAAATGTAAGATTTTTTTCCAACTGTTATTTGATACCAATCTGTCTTGTCCACAGAATTCATCTGGGAATTTAACTATATATATATATATATATATATATATATATATATATATATATATAAGGGTAGAAATTTTCAGAGATTTGAATAATCATTCAGAGTAATTCACTGCACCTAGAAGAATGCTCAACAGAATGCAGAAAGCACAAGACGGCCGTTTCGGCCTGTTTGGGACTCTTCAGCAGTGCGCAACCACTATCGAGAATCGAACACGGACCGTTACGATACAACGCAAGCGTCATACCAATATATATAGAGACAGAGAGAGAGAGAGAAAAAAAATATATATATAACCTTTTATTCTATATTCAACACCATCATTTGATAAGACAAAACAAAATGGCTATTTTTGTAGTGATTCTGTAACATATTTATGTTATAATTTTCGAATCAATTATACACAAATACACACACACACGCACACACACACACACATATATATATAGAGAGAGACAGAGAGACAGAGAGAGAGACAGACAGACAGACAGAGACAGAGGAGAGGGGATAAAACGTCGCCAGTTTATGCGTGCTGTTTACTTTTGATTTCATCCATTGAACAGTATAATAGAATCAGTTGGGAACACTCTGAGAGAAAAAGAGCACCATGATGCAATTCCCTCCGCCAGAGAAATATGGAAACGGCATGATGTACTACTTGGCATTCGCGAAAGAAGCTCCAATACAAACATTTCATAGTGTTTGGGTGTCCATCTGACGACAGTGCTCCGGAAGGAGTTGAATGAGTCTAATGGTGATCATGAAGAAAAATCACTCTGATAGTTATGATAAGAAAAGAACTCTCGAATTGATGGAGATTTTATTGAATAAATTTATTCTTTAATTAAATATTTCAAGATATTTTTTTGTGTAATTTTGGTAAATAAATCTGTTAAAGTGAGATGTCAGTGTTATTTTCTTTTTTGCGCAATATAGACGATAATTTATGATTCGTGGTAAACAAAGTAATTATCTATAGGACGCCAGCCATAAAGCAATACTAAGGTTGGATTGAGGCGCTCCACTGCTGTGGCCTGAGCCGGATTAAGTTGCATTTAATAAGTATCGATTTTCTTATATTTACATGTAAGTTTGTGGATATTTGGGGCTGTTGAAAAGATTGTAAGCTCAAGGAAATCTTTGCTCCTGAATTCGATTCACCATGTGTGTCTCGTACGAGAGGCCATTAGCAAGATTAAGTTAAGCTTGACAAGTTTTAGACTTGTTACTTAATTTGAAGATCACCAGATAGTAACAGCCTAGATTTCTCTCCAAGAAGTGATATTTCTATTCCAGTCGGAAGATAGGATCTTGCATTAATAAAAGAAGGCGAAAATACTATATATATATATATATATATAAAGGCATTGCCGTTGACATATATATATATATATATATATATATATATATATATATATATATATATATATTAAGACATTGCCGTTGACATATATCTATATATATATATATATTTCACACACACACATATATATATATATGTGTGTGTGTGTGTGTGTGTGTGTGTGTGTGTGTGTGTGTGTGTGTGTGTGTGAAGAAATATAGTTTAAAGTGTGTTATATTTATGGGATAAAGTGCTTAATATCAGAGGATATCTGTGGATGACTACAAATAATATATATATATATATATATATATATATATATATATATATATATATATATGCATGGAGACCAGATAGAGCTCTTTGGAGAAAAGGGCAATGTTAAAAACAGTGGTCGCTGCTGCTATTAAGTAATCGCTCTTCAAGTACGAATTAAGCTCTCCTTGCTACTGGCCTATGTCGTATAGAAAACGTTAAAATATCCCTTTCTCTCTGTCGTGCACCGACAGCTTCGCGGTAGGATTTCTGACTGATGCTAAATCGGTCGAATTTCGATTCCGGCCTGAAGCAACTGAATAGCTGTGAAACAGGGAAACAGTCTGTCTGTGAATGACTCTCATCTCGGATATAGCTATCTGGAGAAAAGGGTAATTTTAATTTTTTCGTGGCTGTTGGTGCTATTAACGCATTGCTTTTCAAGTATCAATTGAACTTTCCTGGCTACTGGCATGAAGCAGTCGGACGTCTAGCTACACTGAAGCGAAATGGATGACCACACACACACACACACACACACATATATATATATATATATATATATATATATATATATATATATATATATATATATATGTGTGTGTATATATATATATATATATATATATATATATATATATATATAGTTTGCCCGTCTGCTCAGAAAGTTAGAACTTCCGATTGCACGCTCCTGTAGCCACAAAAACCATGAGAAAAATTGTGGCTTATGCTGCAATTATGCAAAATGGATAAATCTATCTGTGTGCCGTGGTCAGTTCCTATCTATCTATCTATCTATCTATCTATCTATCTATCTATCTATCTATCTATCTGTCTGTTATGGTCCAGGTTAGGACCAAGGAAGAACAACACGAACACAAGAGTAGAAATAACGAAGGTATATTACACGAAATAATAATACAAGATGTGAAAGGTGTTAGTATGACTGTCAGTCTGGTTTGGAGTGAACTACTATCGGCTCGACTCGATTCGGTATCTAGCCACTCCCCACAAGGGTTGCGTGTGGCACAAGGCCGCGTTTAACGTGGGTTTCCCGAGCCCGTAGGCTCGGCCAAAAAATGCCCGTAGAACCCGTATAAACGGGTTCGGGTTGGTCAACGTCCCCGAACGAGACTCTGCCCTTCGGCGGAGCCTCGTCCGGGTTCCTCTCTGCTCAGAGGCAGAGAGTTCGACCGTCAAGCCGAGATGCTCGGCTCGATTCGACCCTCTCTCTTGAGAGGCGTAGTATACATAGTGTTAGGAAGAGTTCATTCTGTAGTTATAGGTCACGACCCATGACACTATCTATCCATCTCAGTCCTCTCATTATCTATATTTATATTTTAATCATTTTACCCAAGTATAGCGAGAATGCCACTAGTACACAATGGGTTACAAGAAATGAAATTGAGAGAAAAGATTTAGTATGATGATGTTGGGGAAAGGATAAGATATGAATAGTGTTCAAGACGACAGAAGATGGCGATTGTCGTTGCATTTAAATGTTTGGATATTGTAGTTTTCAGGGAAAGCAATTTAACAGAAGGGAGTTCCATTATCGAGAAGTGCAAGAAGAAAATCTATAGAGGTAGACTTGCTGATTATATTTAACTGTTTCAACAGTAAAAGGGTCGGACCTAGATTCCAATCTAGTTCCTGTTCCAGTGACAAAATCTCATCAGATCAATTGCCTTGAAAATATTTGTGGAAAAAAAAAACAGACGGAAGCCGCATCACGCCTGTGGGAAAGTGACTGAAGAGAAGATTCCAGGTCAGAATCGATTTCATTACAGATATTTCTTTAAGTTTTCTCAAGAACCCCGAGATGAATAGCAGGAGCAGCAGACCAGATATGGCAACAGCATTTAATGCACGTGCATAAGGTTGATTTGTAACTATGCAAGATGGACTCTGTTGAAAAAAAAAACCTTCTGGCACGACCCAATGAACCAACTTTCCTTGCACTAGATGCAGCTATTGATTCAATGTAATTGTTCCACATCTGGTCAGTTGAAAATTTGAGGCCAAGAAGGCGCAGTGTGTCGCTTTCTAGGTGTCGGTCATCAGCCATGCTGATGTCGGGCAGGGAAGTTTCTCTATGGTGGTTAAATGAGAACAGCTTAGTTTTGGAGGCATTAAAATTTACAAACCATTTCCTGCCCCAGTTAACCACTGATTGGATTTCATGTTCTAGAGCAGCGGCCAGGTTAACTTTGTCAGCTCTGACGGATTTGCTATTGAGACAGGAGTAAATGGTAGTGTCATCTGCATAATTGTTTACTTGGGAACTGATCAGAAAAAATTATTGATAAAGATCAAAACCAGCGTAGGACCTAGGATAGAGTCTTGGGGACACTGATTTCGTGTGAAAGGATCTGGAAGCGACCCATTCAAAATGACCTACATTTCACGATTTGATAGGAAAGATTGGATTAAATCTAACAATCGTCTTATAATAACGTAGGACTGAAGCTTACGTAGAAAACCACATGCCAAACCCTGTCAGGCACCTTTGAGATATCTAGAGCCATAACTCGAGCTTTGTCCTTATTATCAAGGGCTTGATATACACACTCAATAATGGCCGTTAGCACATCAGCGGTACACCGGACAAAACGGAAGCTATATTGTATGTCAGAGAGTAGTTCTTGAAAGGTAAAATGCTTAACCCATTCAGCATTGATTAAAGCCTCGAATAATTTGCCATACTAGTCTAATAGGACGATAGTTAGAGGGGTCAGAATGTTCTCCAGAGTTCTTAAAAACAGAGGAGGACGTCCGACAAGCTGGAAACATCGAGGCAATAGTTATAGAGTTTGGAAAGAATTGGATTCAGCTCGGGAGCCCATTTTTTAGGACGACAGCTGGGATCCTGACAAATCCACTTGCCTTATAGGAGTCTAATTTAGAAAGGACCAATGACGATGTTATGCGCATATCACTCAGTAGAGCCTCTATTCTTGGGGGAAATTAAGTTTGGGTACTGCGGATGAGTCGAGTATTGTGTAGGAAGAGAATTCGGAGAAAAGGATTCAATAGTATCTGCTGTAGATGCCAGGACTTTTATTGAATAGAAAATGGATTGAAGATTTGTTGTTGTTCCACACGTTCTTGCAGAGCCGGCAATAATCTCTAGAACCGAATTTGTGTGATGCTATACGTAGGTTCATTCTATCAGCAAACAGTAACTTCGATTCATTCAGGGCACGTTTTCCCCCGTTACGAGCAGAGACAGAGAGACGTCGGTTGCAATCAGGTGTCGCTCTGCTAAAGCCGGAAGAAGTAGTTCATGCAGTCTATAGCGGCAGAGTTTGCAAGTGAGAGCCAAGGAGATGGACATCTTTTAATTTAGTATCTCCTTGCTGGAATGAAATCTTCGATGCCGAAGACGCGCATTTTTCAACAGGATGATTAAAAACTCAATTCCAAAGTACGTCACCAAGGAAATCAATGTATGACTCCGAATCTGCTCGTTGATAACACAGCGAAATTCTGTTGGTAAGAGGTCCTTGGCTAGTGGTAGAGAGGAAGTTGATATTTATAGACACTACACCATGATCAGAGTTGCCAAGAGGGCAGATCTGCGTAGTACGACAAGAGTCAGGGATAGAGGCAAAATAGAGATCGAGAAGACAAGTGTGTCCGTCAGGGTTACTGGTGAAACGCGTGGAGAAGTCAGCCAACTGAGTGATTGAGAAGCTAAGAGTGTTGATGCCAGCGAGGCCAGTAACAGAGTATTTAAGCCACCTGCTACGGTAGGTATTAGAGTCATCGAACACAGATATATTTGCCAGCGTGTGAGGTGGTCTTGTCTATATTATCTAGCAAGGGAAAGAGAATGAGGTAGATGACTGGGTTAACTAGAGAGAGACGGAGACACATGTAAGAATTGTCTGGAGATTCAATGGAGAGTTCCCTAGCCAGCGGGAGATTTTCGCGGACATAAACTCCCAGACAATGCATGTGCACATTAGACTCCTTTCTAAGGAGAGGAAGGTAGCCAGGAATTGAGAAATCAGAGGAGGGGAAGGAAGAGTTAAGATTAATTTCGCAGAGAGCTAGGATGTCCAGAGAGTTTTCGAAGAGGAAAGATTCAACACTGGATAAATTGGTACGAATACTACGGGTGTTAGAGAAAGAAAGGTTAAGGGGTTTTTTTTGGGGGGGGGCATGATTTAGATTTATAGTTAAATAATACATTTTAGATGCATCAAGGGTGGTCTTCAGTGATGCACTGTCCTCATCGCCAATTTCGGGCTTTCCATCATATCGGCTCCAACAGCAACCCCGAACTGATTTAAGACGAGTCAGACCGCTTCCAGGAAAGCGTCGTGCTACGCACCTCGACATTGCACAAACAGTAATCACATACCGAGCACCGTTCTTACTGACATATGTCAGTCAACGTCAGCCAATGAAAAGAGGGCTTTTCACACTCCTCTCCTATATAGTGTCGTCTTTTTACTTCATCCGGTTTAGCTTTGATCTACAACTTCCGGAATCCATAACGAGGTGAGCTGGTATCTTTATTGCATAGTTTAAGCCAATGATTTACATATTAAATACTAATCCCATAGCGATACTAAATCTTTATTATTTATTTTTGACTGTTTATAGTCATACGCGACATGACACTGCAAGAACCCGGATATTATACAACTCCTAATCGGGAGCACAACCAGAAAACTAGCAACCCGGTAGCCTCAGTTTGAAGAGACGTTGCTACCACCCAAGCATATCGCAAAAAGCGATAAGAGAGACGATCTACTCCTATAAAAAACAATCAAAAAAAGGAAACAAAATAAAATAAAAACAAAAAAAATGTTATTACCGGCTTTGACTTCCAGATAAATTATTTCAATGAGTGACCTTTCAGGTAACTTATTTGGAGGGTAGAACTGCGGTCCACAGATGCCCCAGCACAAACATGTATACATACCTGTGCGCCATGGCATTTCACAGATAGAGCAATATAAATCTGTTCGTATCGATCTAACTATGCCTGTTCATTATCTATCTATCTATCTATCTATCTATCTATCTATCTATCTATCTGTCCATATCTATCTATCTATCTATCTATCTATCTATCTATCTATCTATCTATCTGTCTGTCTGTCCATATCTCTCTATCTATCTATCTATCCCTCGCTCTGTCTATCTATCTATCTATCTATCTATCTATCTATCTCTCGCTCTGTCTATCTATCTATCTATCTATCTATCTATCTATCTATCTGTCCATATCTATCTATCTGTCCATATCTATCTATCTATCTATCTATCTATCTATCTATCTATCTATCTATCTATCTGTCTGTCCATATCTCTCTATCTATCTATCTATCTATCTATCGATCTATCTATCTATCTATCTATCTATCTATCCCTCGCTCTGTCTATCTGTCCATATCTATCTATCTATCTATCTGTCGCTCTGCCTATCTATCTATCTATCTATCTATCTATCTATCTATCTATCTATCTATCTATCTATCTATCTGTCTGTGTGTTGCAGTCGACCCATATCCACCTCTTTGTCTTGACCGTTTCATTTTTTCGCCACATTATTTTCCGATTATTCTCTCTCATTGGCTACAAGTCAGCCATTGTAAAACTTTCTCTAGCTATTTACGCATAGAAAATCTACGGCTGTTCAGAGACGACGCTATGAAGTCGTTAACAAGATTCCTCATTTCCTCTTCCAATACGACTTTAGATAAGACCTAGCAGTGCGTAACCAATTTCTTCCTCCGCCTCTTCGCAATGAGTTACCGACTTTGAAACGTTGGCTTTCTGAATTAGACGGTCAGGTATTTTTTTGTTTGTTTGGATAATTATTTGTTCAGATAACTGAGCCGATCTTTTTTTTTTTTTTAAAGGAAGCCATACTGAACACTTTAAAAGTAGCTTTAAAAGGTTTGCTTTAATTCAGTCGATAAACTGAATCAAACACAGGATATCGCTTTAGAAATCGTGATATTTTGTTTGAAAGAAGAAACCACTCAAAGTTAAAAATCAAGGAATCATGATGTAATTATAAAAATGCTTCTACGCATGCGTAAACTCTTAAAAAGCAGACAGCCTACTCTCTCGACTAGGGATAAAGCTATTCTAGAAGAGGTCCCCTGAATCTAAAAAAAATAAAATTTGGAAAAAACAATGTGAAGTTACTCCAATATCTTTCTTAAGAAGTTGTGGCAACTCATAGATAATAAAGAAAAGGAATCTTCGAGAAGGACTACGCCGATTCCAAAACCATGGAGAATTCAACGGAAAACAACTGTACTATCTTTCCCAAGCAGTTATAGCAGTTCACATATAAAGAAAATGAATCATGGAGCAAGATTACTCTTAATTCAGAACCTTGGGGACAACGAGAAACGACTTCACTCTCTTTCACAAGAAATCACGGCATTTCACAGATAATGGAATCTTGGAGATAAAATTCACTGAATACCAGACGGTGAGGAAGTCAATGGGAAACCACTCCATTATCTTTCCCAAGAAATCATAGCAATTCAAAGATAATGGAATCTTGGAGATGAATTTCACTGAATACCAAACGATGCAGAAAGCAACGAAAATCACACCACTATCTTTCCAAAGAAGTAGTTTCACGGATAATAAAGAAAACATATGTATAAAGCCATGATTGCCTACGTCTTGGAGTGGAGGAAGCGTGGAATTTTATAAAATACGCAGGAAGTACGTCGGAAACGCTAAGTTCATTCAAATAAAATTCTTTGAGATGGTAATCGATCTTTGTTTTTTTCTGGTTTTTTTTTTGTCTTGTATTCTTTATTTGTTGTTGTTTTGCTTTATTTCTGTGTTAAATTTCTTTTTAGATTGTTTAAAGTAGATGACATTTATCAAACCAGCCAGACATACGAACAGCAGTAAAACACTCATCTCCATCACTTGTAAATATTCGTACTCACGACAAAGACATGGAATTAAATATTCATGAGACCTTGGCATTTAGTTCGGCCAATCGTAAATCCGAATAATCAACGTTCGGATAACAGGCTTTACACTGTAAGCTCAAATGGTTGGGCGGCTTCAAAATTGAGAGTATGGTTTTTCTAATGCGGTATGGTGAGATTAGGTATGAAAGACCGCTTTGTACAAATGTTGAAAATATTAGATGATTAAAATTCAGGGATGAATAGATTCATGACTTTCAAAAGTGAAATGAACATAAAAAATGTTATATATACAAAGATCGCACCGAAAGTTATATCTCCTGATTTATAACGTAAGCTCCTTCCACCAGAAACGTATTTTGGTAGTATATATATATATATATATATATATATATATATATATATATATATATATATATATATATCCAAGTATATAATTGGTATATACGGAATGAATTCCAATAACCAACAATTACTATTCTTAAAAGAGTGCTCAATACAAAGTAGAGCAGATATAATTATTTTTATAAAAAATTATAACATAAGTATGTTATAAAATCACTACAAAAATGGCCATTTTGTTTCAACACACTCTGTGTCTTATCAAGTGATGATGTTGAAAATAAAATCACTTGATAAGACACAGAGTGTGTTGAAACAAAATGGCTATTTTTGTAGTGATTTTATAACATACTTATGTTATAATTTTTTAAAAAAATTATATATATATATATATATATATATATATATATATATATATTAAGATTTTTATGTTTATACGTTCTTTTTATATTTTATGTTTCATTTTTTAAAATGTCTTAAAAAGATTGTCGGACTTTGTCCATTTCATAATACACACACACACACACACACACACATATATATATATATATATATATATATATATATATATATATATATAGGTGGGGATGCAAATGGTGATTATCTCTCTTGAGCAAGAGGAATTCACGAGGGTCTTATAACGAGCAGTGAGTAACGAACCGCACTTTATATTTAGCACGCCTAGAGGAAAGACCTTCGGCCCACTCCAGTTGATATTTAGCACGCCTAGAAACAAGACGTTTCTATCCACGCCAGTTGATAGTTTGCACACACAGAAAAAAAGACGTGTCGCCCCACGCCAGCTTTTTTTTTTTTCATGCAAACAACAAAGAAGAAGCAAGACTTAATTGAACAGGACCGCACGTACATAAAAGACATTACTGGCCTCTACGTTTTTCGTAAGGAAGAATCACTAGAAAGACTCTCTCGTTCTTAACCTCTTTCACACTGCTATTTGCATACATGTGTTATAGTTTCTCTGTGTGGGATAAATGAATGACAAGTATATCGGTATAAGTATCTCTTTGTGAGCTATGCATGTTTGTCTTTCCTTTCTTTCGGCTATTCTGTTCCGTCTGTGTGTTACGGTGTTACTCTATCACGGATAATATCTATAATAGAGAATCGGAAGCTTTATCTTCTATCCAAGACTTTCTACTTTGCTGATCGCCTCATTTATATGACGTTGTTGACTAAATATATCCGCCAAGGTGCAGGTTCAGAACTAGAGGCTTCCAGTTTCACTAAAACCTGCTCCAGTCTCATTCTATATGTGCCGCAGAGGAAGGCCATGGAATCAAGTGTGTGGCTTACTTTCTGCCAAGTTGAGGTCCACCTTAAACAAATTCACGCTATCGGCACTTTCTTTTACTCAGAGTATATTTCACCGCCAACCAACTCTTGCAAATCCAAACGACGGTAGGGAATAGATGGCTGGAGCAGATAGACAAAAATAATAATAATAATAATAATAATCCCTTACTATAAAAGTAATTTATATTAACCAGAAAAAAAGGCTTAGACACAAGCGTCTCTCTTTTTAATTTTGAATTTTAATGTAACTATAACAACAAAAACATTTCGATTTCATTTTTGCCTTGAAAAAGTCGGAAGACGAAACGCGTCGGCAAAATGTAAGATTTTTTTCAATTGTCATTTGATACCATATATATATATATATATATATATATATATATATATATATATATATATATATATATAGTTAGTATACTTAAAAAGCATATTAACTTCCCAAAACATTTTATCGAAAAGGATAGATATTCCATGTCTATTGAATATATTTGTCACCGTTTCTAAACTGCTGAAAATGCATATAAATAACTGAAATATTATTTACAAGCTTTTGACTTCAATGTCGATCCACCTGCTACACTACGAGGTGCATTCGTGAATTTTTAATATTTTTTCAGGGGAGATTTATTCGTTTCAAAGAAATGCAAAACTCTTATCTCCTTCAAAGTAAGATCCTATGACTTCATTGCATTTGATCTAGTGCTCCACCGACTTCATAAAGTCCCCATAAAGTCATCCAATCGGAAGCTATCCAGGAGGTTTGTTTCAGCCCCTTTTATCTTTTCGTCTTAAAAAACGACTGCCCCTGAGATAATACTTCGGCTTGAGGAACAACCAAATGTCACGAAGTAGCGAGGTCTGGACAATAGACACTTTGATACCTGCCTCTATCAAAAAAATTAAATTCATAACGAGCTTCTAAATTGTCTTCATATCCAGACTGCATTGTTCAAACTAGTCAGCACTGACAAGCAGTGTTTAAAAAGCTGTGTTCAAAAAGCCGTCTACTTCAACATGGAATAACAAATGTTAGTAGTTCAGCTTATTAAATGTATCGTAATGATACAATAAAATAAGAATTATCTAGGACAGTTTGTGTAACTACAGAGCTCAACGTAGACTTGACACGCGAATTTTAATCTATTAATTTAAAAAAAAATACGTTTTGGGTATATAGTCTGTCCAGTTGGTTTTTGTTTATGACTCTTTTAATTTTGTTATGAAATTTCTCGACATTTAGGTGATGGAAGATCTAACAAGAAAATTGAAATATTGCAACAAACTGGATACAAATTTATTGTGAATGATCTAGCGATTAAAGCACTTTCTATATATTTTCGTATTTAAATTAAAGTATAAAGACTCATTGTTCGTGATATACAATGTGTTCCCAGATATATATCCTTTTCCTATATATATATATCCTTTATATATATATATATATATATATATATATATATATATATATATTTAGTTGGATAGATGTGAGTTTGTGAGATTGGGTTTGACGATCTTTAGCGATCGTCAGGGTCTGACAAACTCACATCTATCCAACCAAATATGTTAGCTCTATCTCTGATATTGAGCGCTTTCTAATAAGTACCATGTATATAATATATAAATAATTATATATATATATATATTTATTTATATTTATATTCACATATATATATATATATATATATATATATATATATATATATATATATATATATATATATATATATATATATATATATATATATATATATATATATATATATAAATATATATATATATATATATATATATATATAGTTAAACCTAGAGCCTAGGAAAACCTGATGGTGTCACCTAAAGTGGATTGTCAGGTAAGGCTGGCTTCCTGACGATCCGCTTAGGTGAAACCTTGTAGGTTTTTTCTGGTCTCAGGTTTAATCAAATATGATCAAAGGTCCAGAAATTCATTATTGAAATGGGTTTGCTTAATTCTGGTTAATGACAATAAAATGCTATGGTAAACTATAGTAATTAATTACCGATAGTGTTCGAACTTCAAGTCACCAGCTTCAGTACTTTGCTTTTTATTATAAGTAACAGTGTAGTGACTTTATTGCCACGCTGTCTATACATACATACATACATACATACATACATACATATATATAT